CACTAAAGCAATGGGTGTGGCAACCATTATCATCAGAGTTTTAGATGTGTTACAGTCTGCATTATTTAACTTTTACACTGCAGTATTTAACTAACATAATTTTTTATTTTTATGTTATTTTATATTATTGTATTGTATTTTTGTTGTTGTTCGCACTGCCACCAGAATAGGTAACAAAAAGTGTCTGAAACTCTCTAATATTCTATTATATATAGAAGTGGAATATATATAACATTTTATAATATTAGTAATTTCTCTTCCCACCATGTACCTAGAAAAAGTCTAAATAACGTTATTAGTTCTCAAGAAAACAATAAACAGGGTTGCATGCCGGAATTTTGGTAATTTCAATTATAAATTTAACAAACATAATAAAGATTAACATTTTATCATACTTTTATCTATCTATCTATCTATCTATATCATCTTATAGGTTTTCACATAACGCCAATATGAAACTAAAATTAATGTATGTATGATGAAGTATGGGGCTTTTATTATTATTATTATTATTATTGAAAAATATTAATTTATTTATTTGTTATTTTTATATGTATCTATGTTTTGTGTTGAATGCATTTGTTGTTCAATGCAAAATGCAATGGCTCAAATGTTATTACATTGTATGGTTTTATTTACTGTAATTTTTCTGATAGGTTAATTGTATGTTAGATAATAGTTTATCAAACATATCTAATAGGTTTCACAAAATAAATCAATAAATAAAACATGGGATTTGTGTTTTCGTTGATTTAAAGAAAGTCATAAGACACCTGAAGTCTCTGAAGTTGTCTTCTTAAAATGTCAAGCTGAGAAAATACACATGATTTTACAATTCATGGTCTACATTATCAAACAGCTAGAATTCCAAATCATGCCAGTCATTAAATCATAACATCATTAATCATAAGGACCCAGATTTTAGTTTTGATCTCAGTCTTGTCCTTGCCAATGTCAAGTTTTCTGTTGTCAGGGGACACTTACTGCAGGCAGAGAGTTAACAACCCACTTCTCATTTTTAAGCTGAACTAAAGCTTTATGTACAGACAGACTGTAACCCTTTATTTTGTGAGACAGTTGTCCTTTGTGGTCTGTTCAGTCCACAAGGAAACAAAATTGTCCCATGAGAAAGCAATTATCTAGGATAATGAATGCTTTGAACCAGAAAATGCAGACTATAAACTGCACTCTCTGTGCTTGTGTTTGACAATCATTCTGCTTGGAGGCACCACACGTATCTGCATGTGAGCCTTAACTACACATCAGATTAATCGCTTCTAATTGCTAAGGTTTATTCCACAATATTAAGATTATAGATGCCAAAAACAAGCAAAAAATTTAGGAAAATCTCCATCATAACATATCTATAGATTAAACTGTAATTGCTTGTGTTATTTGATGTTTGTAAGTCAATCATCTCCGATTATCATAATCTAAAAATAATTATTCTTAGTCCTAATATAGCAGATTTCTGTGTTTATAAAGTCGGGTATTTAGACTGTAGACTGCTGTACGTTTATATTCCTAACACAGAGTATCCGAAAACATTGGTATTCAATCAGAAGATGGGTAAGACTGAATAATTTGAATCAGGACTATGCAAATCTGTTTATAGTTACATCACCACACGTCCTGAGGGACTGATTTTACTCCACACTTCTAAAAATAAAGGTTCCAAAATGGAGTTATACAGCGATAGAAGAAGAATCTTCCAAAGAACAATTCAGTGAACAGTGAATAATAAAGTTTTACGGATCTAAAAGACATTTAAAGTATCTTTTGTGCAATGGAAAGATTCCATGGATGTTAAAGGTTCTTTATAGAACCATAGAAGCCAATAAAGCCGTTAAAGGCATGCATTTATGTCCCTGATTAAACTCTTAAAAATAAAAGTTCCTTATTGGCATCTGTACAGTTTCATGAATATCAATGGAACCTTTCATTTCACAAAACTGGTTCCTCGTCGAAAAAGTCTCTTTAAAATATTAAAATTAAAATGTTCGTCACACTAAGAAAAAAAAAAGGATCTTTCAAGAAGGTTCCCTTTCATGGGAACTTCGAACTGCGTCCTCTAGGGGTCGCTATGGGGAACGCCTCGTCGTGACCCGTGTCTGAAGCATACATTGAAAAAACACCAACTCGTTGGCCGGCGACAGCCATGACGTCACTACCGGTGCGACTATAGTATAAATAGGCGCCGGGAGCACACATCATTCTCTTCTTCGTCTTCATTGACTGTTTTGTTTGAAGCGTGCATTTCTGTGGTAAGAGCGATCTCTATTTATCTCATTATGGCGAGCACTAGCAAAGCATTTAAGGATGTGTGCATCCATATTGACGTTGTTTAACATCTGATGACACACACGATCTATGCATTTGTAGCGAATCAGCTCATGGGGAAATATGAATAATTAATCATAACTAGTTTTTAGGGAACCAAAGATCTTCTTCTATGGCATAAAAACCTCCTTTTCAAACCTTCATTTCAAAAGTGTATAGAGCGTTTGCATTGGTGGCAACACTTTTTAGGTGTCTAATGAAGGGTTAGGCATATGGCATATGGAAGGTATTTTAAGTCATATTGTGTTTTTGGACGTCATTATTTATTGACCTAGACATTATTTTTATCATCATCCTAGCTTGTTCAGAGAGATGTGGGTTCATGAAGTAAGAAAGATATCAGAAAGACTTTGACCGTTTGACAGCTAATAAACCCACCTTTAAAGTTAATGAAGGGATAATTCACCCAAAAATACAAATTCTGTCATTAATTGCACCCTCATGTCGTTCCAAACCTGTAAGACCTTCATTCATCTTCAGAACACAATTTAAGATATTTTTTATGAAATCCGAGAGCTTTCTGACCCTCCATAGACAGCAACGCAACTGAAAGGTTAAAGGCCCAGAAATGTAGTAAGGACATTGTTAAAATAGTCCATGTGACATCAGTGGTTCAACCTTAATTTTATGAAACTACAAGAATATTTTGAGCGCAAAGAGAACAAGCAGTTTCAAGACGTTTTCAAGCAGAGGAATGCACACGTATGCATCGTGAAACTCTCATGAAAGCACGTCGAAGACTGAGACGGAAGAGACAAAAGTTATTTTTGTTTTCTTTGTGCACAAAAAGTATTCTTGTAGCTTCATAAAATTACGATTGAACCACTGATGTCACATGGACTATATTAACGATGTCCTTGCTCTGTTTCTGGGCATTGAACGTGGTAATTCCATTGCTGTCTATGGAGGGTCAGAAAGCTCTCGGATTTCATCAAAAATATCTTAATTTGTGTTCCGAAGATGAACGAAGGTCTTACGAGTTTGGAACGACATGAGGGTTAGTATGTAATGACAGAATTTTCATTTTTGGGTGAACTATCCCTTTAAGTATAACTCTCCAAGATTTGATCATTTTGACTTCCATTCAATGATTTTGCGTGAACGCAGAAGTGTGACTTTTCTGAAATAGCTTATTCATTTACAATCACTCTGTCGCCTTCAGAAACGCTGACTCATGACCTTTTAATCAGATATCATTGCATTTTGTCTTGGAGAAAACTAATTATTGATAGTCGCAGGCCTTCTTTTCACTGACACTAACATATCTGAATACAATCAATTAATTCTATAGAACAGGAATGAATTATAATGCTAAGTTCATCAAATTAGGTCAAAAACGGGGTGACAGACATCTTTAAACGTGTTTGAATGTTTGTCCAGTGACAGTCATGTCATGGTCCAACTATCTGCTTTCGGGCTTTATCTGCCATGGAAGAAGTGCCAAAATGCAATGGCTCTAATGTGTGTAATCCTTGCCTCACGTGATTCCTACAAGGGCAGCTTGAATTAGGAATTAAACAGCCTTTCCCGAATGCTTACAGTGATGCCTTTCCAACAGATGCTTCTCTAAACATGTTGTCCTAAGCAAGGACACGCATGATAAAATCCACCATGTTGCAATAAAGTTGTATCAATTATCTACCGTTTAAAAGTGGAAGGCTCAGTGACTTGATCGTATTAAAGATATACACATAAAAACACTAATTTGGACAGGCCCAAATTTTCTGATCATATTAGAATATTTACAGGATTTACAGAATCACAGCTTTTTAGGAAAAAATTAAATTAAATAGAGTTTTGTTAAATTAAATAAAGACACAAAGCTGCCATTATTATTTTTTTCA